AAGGTCATATAACCTTCGTCTGCTTTTATGAATTCCTACTGTCGCCCACTCATTAAATGCGTTGCGACTGTTTCTGGAGAATGTTTTAGAAGTGAATGTTTTATTAAATTCATTGTTTATAAGGATAAATAATTCTCTATATAAATAGTCTGCATTGTTCTTATAAGAAAGGGGTGAAAGGTTTTTTACCATATTACTTCTAAATCTCTCCAGGCGTTTTGCATTAATAGGAACAAACAGAATTTTCTCAATTACCTGTATTTTGTGCATATAAGGTAACGAGACCAGTTGTCCACAGTGATCTGAACTAAGTTTTTTGAATTATTGATTTATTGATTGGTGCAACACCTGTAAAAATATTATCAATACAAGTTGCATTACACCCTGCAATACAGTAGTCGGATATACCGACTTATAGGAGCACTTCGATATACAGTCAAAGTGGCACCGCTGAAGGGCTGTAGCCCCACCCAAATTTCGACGGAATCAAAGGCTTTCTCATAGTCCACATACCCAAGGCAAAGTAACAGATTGTACTATTCTGTCTTCTGTACAATTTGCCGAAGAGTGTGTATGTGGCATATGGTACTAAAGCCTCTTCGGAAACCAGCTTGTTCGGGAGGCTGGAAGTCGTCGAGTCTGCTTAGAAGGGAAATCGGTCTGTTGTTCTTCAAGAGAGCGCTGTCGCCTTTCTTGAATAACAAGACCACCGCACTTCTGCTCCACGCCTTCGCAGTAGTACCACCATGGAGGACGGAATTAAAGAGCTTCTGAAGGACTTCAAGTACCGGTTTTCCACCCGCTTTCAGAAGCCCTGCTGTATATCCATCCACACCTGGGACCGTGCCGTTTTTAAAGTGGTGCAGAGCCACTCTAATCTCGCTTCATATATCATCAGAATATTGTCCGGGATATCATCAGAATATTGTCGGATAAAACTCGCTCTTGGATCCTTACTCACACTTGCGTGTGGCTCCAATGATGACGTGTACAGCTGCCCATAGAACCTCTTAATATCACTCAAAATCTCAGGTGTCCCGGAAACGATGCTGCCACACTTGGTCTTCAGCTTTGACAGTTGGCTCTTTCTGGCAGACAGATCTCTGGCAAAGAATTTGGAGCCTTGGTTCCGCTCGATCGTTTCTTCAATACAAGCTACTATTGACTCGTCTATCTCTTCTTCCATCTCCAGGATCTTCTCTAGGATAGGATAACAGTGTAAAATATGTGCATGATTCTGCTGTGTTTCGAATGGTGAGTGACAAGAACCGGAGACCCTTTTACTTTTAAATAGCATTTGATTTTAGTCCCCAGGGGTGACAGCATATTCGTATTTTAAATCCCCATTTCTATTCATCCTCTCAAGAGAATCTCAAGAGAGGTATGGCGTGATCGCGGAGCAGGAAGAATTTCAAATTATTACAATCCATACAAATGTGAACTTTAATAACTTGATAATAATCTCGGTTTTCGAACCACAAATAATGTTAAAAAGGTTCTAAAACTATCTTAGTAACAAAATTTAATGATGGGAATTAAGTTAAAAATGCAAAGCAATAAAAAAAATCCTGCTCCACGACTATACTTTGGGTGTATGTAGCCACTAATTATTAGATTATTAAAACATAGTATAAAATCAAATCTCACTAAGAGGTAACTAACACTGTTAAAAAAAAAAACTATAATAAAAAGAAACTAAAATTTATTATATTTATATTGTCATATACAATCCTATAAAGTATCGTGCTAAGAGAGTTTTCTCGCTGAATGACCATATCTAGCCTTTGAGCAATAAAAGAACTAGCCATTTTATGACCAGCAGCGAGGACCAGTCGCGGATACAGTTCCTTTAGGAACTTCACCGCACGTGGACCCACTGACCGATATTAGGTCTCTACTGCAAATGACACAAATATGTAGTCATTTCTCAAAGACATATTTGCGCCACTTACATAATTCAGCTGCTTCTGAAGCCGTCCCGGCTCTAGACGAGGTACCCCATTATTAGGTGAACTGCATTTTGTTTTCACCAACTCACTATACCTAAAAATATAAACTGAATATTGTAATATTACATATACGTATACACTGTATTGCAAATATCCCTGAAGCAATCCATGGGGAGACCCATGTTCAGCAGTAGATTTTGATAGGCTCTAATTGTAAAACTGTTAACATTCTCAGTGTATTACGTGACATATCGCATTCAACGATCACACTTGCAACTTTGTTATCACTTGCAGTAACGTAAGATTTTAAGATTTTTTTTTATCTTTGCATATCTTATTACATAATGCAATAAGATAATGTAATAAGCTATTTGTAACCACCGTTATTACTAAAGGACGCATGCAATGTATTCCCGAAATTAGATTTCGATGTGTTGTTAGGTGCAATCCAGTGACCTTGCCAATGACGACCAAGCGGATTTTTCATCTAGTATATAAAAGATGGCCCCCGTAGCTAGTAGTCGATTCTCGTAAGAAGCGATGGAGGGAAATTAAAATACGAGAAAAGCAGCAACATCTTTCTGATAACAATTAAAAATAATTAAATAAAACTGCGGTTACTGACCCGTCTACTCAGCGCTGTCGCTAAGGCAAATTATCTCCGTATGGATACCGTCTGGTCGCCTACCGTGAGGCAAACAAAGTCCATTGTCAAAGTCCATTGTTGAAAGAAGACCTTCTTATACACATGAGAAGGCCTTTTTTCAGCAATGGCTTTGAAAGGCTGTATTGATGATGATGGTTGTTGTGATGTGGATGGATAAAATGGTTACATCACTATCTATCGGCGATGAAAGCGCATACATATATTATTATTGATTCCATGCATGACTGCTAAACATAGGTCTTCCCCAGAAGTTGCCTCATAGAGGGGATATTGCCGTAGTAATTACATACATATTATTGATTGTGCTACCTTATTACTGCCATTTATGACCCGGGGGGGGGGGGGGGGGAGTTAAGCAATGGTTTATAATAAGTAAAAAATGTTATTCGGTATTTTTTTTATAGACTAAGAGTAACAAACGAGCACACAGTCCACCTGATGGTAAGTGGATGCTGTAGCCCATAGAAATGTACGTTTTATCCTCGATTAAGAATCAAAATTCAGATGCGTTGTCACTCTTGAGGACTACGATGGAATACCTCGTTTCCAGTAAAAAGATTATCCGGTTCCCTACACTCACCATATGAAACACAGCAGCATTAAGCTGCTATTTTACGCTGGTATTCTGTGAGAGCGTGATCCTACCCCGGTCGAGATGGCCCATTCGTGCTACAACCATAATATTGCTGCAGCATGGTTATCACGTATAAAATTATTACTAGGGTATTGAGTTTTGGTATGAATTAACTAATTCTAATTTCCGATGTTATAATTTTAATGGATGGGATTGGTGGTATTCACTACTATACACTTTGTAACGCTTATATTGAAAAGTAATTGTATCCCTTATTTTATGCAAGTCATTCATGTAATATGTATATATGTTATACTATACCTTAGAGGACACCTATGTTCAGCAGTATACTTGTGTGGAGTATATAATATGAAATTCGTTTAATAGTTTGGATGAAATTTTGTATTAAGATAAAGTTTTCCATTTGATTGAAAAAAAAAAAGTTTAGAAAAAGCAAATATCTGGATTAATTGTTTTTTGTATTCATATCTGCATTTTAAATATTTCAGATTATCTTATATAACTTCTAAAGTTTTATAAACACGTGCACTGAAATGAAGGGAATCGGAAGCAAAACATCGCAAAACCAGTAAACACGATTACCCGTATCTTCCCACGACTCTCGCTTCTACAAGCGCGTTTTCTTTTATCAATAGTCTTAGCGTAAAGTCAAAGGAAGATCTTACAAGAGCTGCTTAATGTGTAATAGGATGGCATAGGTGTGAAAGAAATAAAAACAAAATAATTAAACATTATGAAAAAATAAGTGAATTTCAAAAACAAACGATATAGATATTACTACCACTTAATAGCTTCTGAAGTAGAATTAAACTTAACACACACAAGCCTTTTGTTTATTATTTTATCTTTTTGAGTGAATTATGGAATATCACTGGTTCAAGGTTTCCAAAAATCGGTGAATATACAAAAACATATACGCATTGACTATAAAACCTTCTCATTTAAAGAACTCGGTTAATAATAAGGTCTTTTTGTTTTGTTAACATAGGGGTTTTGACAAAAAAATTACAAATAAATTGTTATTTAAGCTAACTTCAACCCTCTTTTATTCCTTTGTGAAATACGTATATGCTTATGGTAGATAGATGCAGGTATTTTTAGAAACTTCGAATTATGATTTACTCTTACTCTACATAAATTATAACGTATGTAATGATTCTGTACGTAAATGATTTCTACTATAAATTATAACCAGGCATTACAATTTTTAGCTTATTAATCTTAAATTTCTTTTAATCCGAAAGTTCATGAAGATTGCAAAGTTTTGTCTGAAACTGAAAACATCTGTTTTTAACTGACTCCAAGAGTATTTATTCGACTGTATTTTTAATAAATGTAAGTAATAATTATTAAAACTGTGAAAGATAGTCTTCCGGGTCCTAGTATTTCTACCGACATCAAAAAGGTGACTGTATGTTTTTTATGTGTGTTACCTCATAACTTTTATTCTAGGTGAACCGATTTCGATGATTCTTTTTAATTTGAAAGCTGGTACTTTTCATGTGAACCCATATAAATTTGATCAAGGTCTGACCAATAGTTTTTGATTTATCCTTAATAATTTACGTTGAAGTAGGTGGTACAACATTTTTAATTTTACCACTTATTAAAAAACGTATTCCAGTCAATATTTTTTTATTTGCTAGAATTGTTATAATTATTTATTTAAATAATGATTAATAAATACACAAAATTTTATATAATTTTTTTTTATAATTGTAGTATTGTAATATCAGCTCTACAAATATCTTACGTTAAAGCCTCAGTGAGACAAGACGCGGCAAACGTCAGTGACCACAGTTTACCGTCGCGTGTCGGTCGTGTTTAGTATCAAAATGTCGGCCACAGTTGAAACGAGTTTGAAGTAAGTTTTAATAGCGAAAGTTGTTTTCTTTTCGACGATTAGCCTAAGATTTAACGCTGTAAATTGATGCTACGGTGTTTGTGAGTTAAAAGTGTTTTGATATATTTTTAGTTTTTCTTTTTAAATATATATTTTTTTATTTAAAGTTGGAGTAAGTTTGCGCTTTTTGCAATTCAAAAATCTATTTTATCTAAAATACAGGTCAGGTGATAGTTTTACTAATAAGTTTACTAGGTAGTAGAGCCTTTTTCAACCAAGGAGTTGCGTGTTGGTAACATCATAATATTACGTATTAAATTAAGTCCAACTGCTCAAATAAATATATATATATACACATAGTGTCTATAGAGACATTATCTCAATTATCTTTCGTGGTGTTTGTGGAAATAGCATTTATTTTATTTAAATTAACAATTTTTCATTTTGTTTGAAAGAAATATTATTTTAATATTTTTGATTAAAATTAGTTCATCGCGCTGCTCCAGTGCATATTAAAGGAATTTACAATTTAAATTTTTCATACATAATTGACAAATGCAGGCTTCTGAATCACTCTGTATTTGGAAATAAATAAACGTCTATTAGACGCAGGGCATACCCTACACCAGGGGTTCCCAAACTTTTCGGGTATTTGAACGTTTACCAAATCCATTTTATTTTATGGAACCACAGGTAAAATTATTAGAAATAAGAAATTTTTAGGAGAAATATTTTAAAAGTGAAACTTATATCTAAATCTTTTTTTTTTTTTACTCAGTATAAGCCAGTGCTTTACCACAATCTCACCTGGTAGTAACTGGTGATGTAGCCTTAGATGGTAAATCGAACTGTCTTAGCGTAACAAAAGCCTATTCACTTTTGCCTTAAAGACGCCCATATTGTATTCGGATGGAAATATGTCAGACAATTATTTCACTCCTTTTCTGTACGCATTACAAAAGTCGAAGCTACCAATATATTATCTAAGTGAAATGTTTTAAAAGTAAAATTGCTAATTATTGCGCTGCAGTATAGTCCCAAATGCTCGCTAACTACCTACGTACATACATAACAGTAATGGATACTTCTTGTCACATATTTTGGACTATTTCAAAATAATATTTGTACCTAACTGTAGAATTATTTGAAAGGGCAAAAATAAATAATTTCGCGGAATCCTGGTGACTTTTTAGGATTCTACATTTTAGTGTCTCAGCCCTACACTTACACTGACACACACTGTCAAGATATGTGCGTGAGTGCGCGCCAACAATTTGAGTATGGTTTCGACGTCACCTTAAATGTATGCATCGCACAACCTTACTTTCTTTGTTAGTTTGAGACTGAGACATTAGAGTTTTATCACTCTTTTCATTTTTATTCTAGGAATCCGGTTTTCGATTGCGTGTCCTGGTTGACGTTTACTTTTTTTTTGTGATAACTTTCTTTAAGATTTACTGGTACAGCTAGTAAAGTCAATGATTTCTTATATTTATGCGAATACTACACATGAAATAAAACAAATTCTATGGATTGTATGATGTTAAATTTTAACTTTTTATTTTTTGACGTTTCGGGCACTTTACTAATTATGACTCCCCCCCCCCCCCCTCCCCCACCGTGACCGTGAGTGCTGTAAAATTAAATTAAAAAACAAATCAGCTAAATTTAGGCTTGTTTATAGTTCCCATGAACTTGAAAATCTACACTGGTTCGCAAAACAGGAAATTCTCAGAAAATAACCGGCAAGAAGCTCTGTGGTCTTTGATTATTTTTTAAATGCCGTGTTATAATTTTATTTACGATAACCAATGTGTATTAATATTGTTTAATTTCGATGTCAATATATCAGTAGCCAGGGGACTTGCAAGTGAAAAAGTGCAAGATCAAGTTAAAAAAGCGTATAAAAGTGTGGTTGATAATCTCCAAGTCCAAGGAATGCCACAAAGTACGGTCCCGGTCCATCTGCTTTCATCAACTTCCTGCATCTCTAGCAGATATCACTTCATCTAGTGGGGAGCCCTACACTTTATGATTAAAACATCTCTAATTAATTAAATCTCTTAATAATACAAAAATATTATTTTTTGTCCTTCTGAATCTTGGAAGTGTTTCAACATAACCTTAACAAAACATTGAGAAGGGACACTTTCTCTACAAGACATCCGTACTCATCTAATTTCAATTGCGAATGAGTTGTTACCATATGACACGACTTTTTTATTGTTTGGAGTTAATTAGACGGCTGCGTGGCGCAGTGGCTTAGCAATCAGTTGTTGCGCTGGGGGCCGCGGGTTCGAATCCCGCACAGAACAAGTATTTGTATGGCCTACAAATAATTGTTCCGGGTCTGGATGTTTGTCCTTGTGCAACTTATGTTTGTAAACTGCCTCCACGACACAGGAGAAAAACCTAGTGTGGGGGTAACGTTTTTTTTTTAAAAGTAAAAGTAAAAGTAAAATTATGTATTTCTATGATGTACTGAGTCCTTTAATCTTTATTAATGTTATATTTTGTTAAATAATAACACTAAAACTTCTTATATTTTCTTTTCTCTTTTATTTATAAAAAAAAATACCCTTACTCTGACCTGTATGCTGGAGGTGTTTAACAAACAAATTAAAGATGGACGAAAACCTGAAGCAAATTTTTGTAGGTTTAGAATTCACTACCACATAATATCATTCCGAAGGTATCGTAAAAGACGATAAAGAGAAATTAAACAGGAGATGGGTAGAAGCATCATCCTGATAGATCCTAAAAGAAATAAGAACTGCGGTTTTTTTATAGGATAAGGTGACAAACGAGCACACAGTCCACCTGATGGTAAGTGGTTGCTGTGACCCATAGACATCTACATCTATCCTCAATAAAGAATCGAAATGCAGATGCGTTGTCAGCCATGAGGACTAAGACGGAATGCCTCTTTTCCAGTAAAATGGAGTCCATCTCCAGTTCTCTACACTCACCATACGAAACACAGTAGTGGTAAGCTGCTATTTTACGCTGGTATTCTGTGAGAGTGTGGTCCTTCCCTGGTTGAGCCGACCCATTCGTGCTACAACTATACTACTAATATAGCTGCAACATGACTCTTCCACGTATAAAAACTACCCTATCAAGCGTGGCAACTTTGGCAAATATAAGACAATCTATGGAGAGGCCTATGTTCAATAGTGGCCTTTGGTAGACTGTAATGATGATGATGACGATACAAATATGTATTTCCGTGTGGGATACAAACCCGTAGCCTTACAGCCAAGCGTCCATTGCTAAACATAGGCCTCCCCCACAGATTGTCTCATAGGGATTTCGCCATAGTAACCATGGTTGGGAGGAATGTTATCAGCGGCAGTTTTTTATTAATTTGAATTGTTCTGTCCATCTCCTGTTTTAGTTTCCTTCTCTCATCTCTTATGACCCCTACGGGTCGATATAGCGTAGTGGATATTCATACCATGCCACTACACGGTGATAAGCGTATCATCTTTATAGCGAAATAGGGATCATAAAAAAAAGAAATTTGTGCTGCTACTGTATTTGGTGATTATTGTTTTTAAATGTTGCCTGTTCAAGATATAACATAATAACGTCTTCCGTAAAACAAAAACTGTAAGTTGCCGAATGTGCAAAATATATTATACCGCTGTAATTGTTTATTTATTTATTCATTTTAGGAAGGCTTGCAGACTAATATCTTCGTAAAGTTACAAAATGGTGATAAAAATTGTTAATTACAAGCATCCACATATTACTTTTATCTAATTTTATACAAATTTAAAATACTCCAGGGATTACTTGAACTACTCACAAAAATATTAACAAAAAAAAACCGCATAGTTTAACTTGCCGCCGTGAGACCAAGGAGCTTGCAACTTGAGTCACGCTAGTCGCGGCAGTGACTGAAAAATTCTCTGTTCATCATTTTTTGACAGATTTCGAACTAGTAGAAAATAGGTGAATATCTACTTTTAAAAACATATAATGAAGTACTACGTCATTCTCGTGTACCGGTATTTGATAAAACCATTGAGTTATATGTACTACGTACTAGAGAAGCCATTCCGAACATTGACTATGTCCAACTGAACTGTAGTGCAATCCATACAAACTAAATATTGCGGAAATTGAAGTTTTGTGAATTCCATAAAATAATTATTATTACATTTTATTTAGAAATGTGTTTGTTTAGATTAAATTAAGATATTTTATATTAAATTCTTATATTTATTTTATATTAATATCTTATTTTATATTAAATTAAAGTCTTCGCGCATGCGCGACTACTACTACCGCGCATGCGCGAAGACAGAGTAGGACACAATTTTTGTTTGGAATGGCTTCTCTAGTACGTAGTACATTTAACTCAATGGATAAAACGCAATGAGAGGTTTAGCTGCTATGTCAGAGACACGAGGGTAAATACCATACATTCAAAATACAAATAATAATGATATAAGATGGTATACGTGACCTATAACTAAGCGTGTTTATGTCAATATAGAATTTTGTATAAATAGAATATCATTTGTGATCGGTTACCCAATAGCAAACCGAGTTCGATCTCCGCCGACAATAATTAATAATTGCCGTAAATATAATATTATTGCCATCATTAATTTAAATTACCGATGGCGGTTTTAAGTGTTGATTTACGAACACAACGATAAAGAAAAAAAATCTTGATAGCAAACAAGATTTGGCAATATAAGGAACACTTAGAAAAATCAAGATTAATAAAAACAACTAATGATCATAATATTAACTATAATATCAACTGTTAAAGATGACGTCGATAAAGCAGCGCCCTTTTGACCTTTTATTATTTGATTCACTGATGAAGAGGCATCGTGTAACAGAGCTATCAGTATGTATGCAAACAAAGCTATTAGCTTTTGAGTTATTATAAGAAAGTATTTATTAACCGGATGACCATATTACCCCCACGTACGCTATTAAGAGTACGGTGAGTTATATAATAAATAATTATCAATACTATAAATGACGAACTCAAGGATTTG